GTCATAAATTATTTGTCGATAAAACGTTCAGGTGCCCCTTAACCGTACACACGTCACTTTCGCAATGAAAAGGATATAATCTAGAGTTCGCTGCTAAATCAAGTTAGTACAATATATGTATAACATTAAAACAATCTCACCGCCTGCAACAACAGTGACACGCGTATCGCGATTAATTGGATGTGCCCGCTGTAAGCACTGGTAAAGATGCACTCCCAAAAATACGATTAAAGAGTTAACATTTTATTGTCTTACTTGCAACCGGAGTAAATCCGTACACGTGTGTGTAGTTTACAAGAAGCGTGGTAAGGGGTGAGTATTGTTCTAGTTATTATAAACGAGCACCTATCAAGGGAAATATATTATTTTTATCAGCAAAGGCGAATATTTGCTGGTAGGAATATACGCGTACATGGCTATTCAATTCCTATGTTATGAGTATTGTCTGTAAATATTTATCGATACTATAATTCGTGTGTATATTAGTATTAATTCGAATTGTGATATACATTTATTTATACTTGATTATTTGTTTGAGTCTCAATTGTGAAATTTGAAAAATAATATCCGGAACCCATTCGTCAATGCAAATAGTACGTTGTGTCGTTAAATATTATTTAATTCGAAAATATGGAAGCATTTAAACACATGGGGAAACGGAGATGAAAGTGTTATATCACAATGTTATAATTATTCTGTTTTAGATCTGGTATGCGCGTACACACACACACACGCATTTATATTTTACACACGTTAGGCTTTAAATTATTTGCCCGTATGTTGTATGCATGCGTGATAATAAAACATTACCCCCCGACCGAAAATGTGAAAGCGTATGTTGTACATGCACATTACGGAGAAACTGATTAGATAGTTACGGTGGAAATAGCACTTATTAATTTCCTTGTACGTGTGATAATTTTAATTACAACGTATTTTTTTTCGTGTAAAACAACATAATAATAAATACACACGTACTATCGTTAATAAATTCTCGCCAAACCGATATAATTACACTTCAAGCGGTATGATGAGAGCGCACGGACCTGCAATTAATTGTGCGGTAGTAAAATAGTTTGTAAAATAACCTTCAAAAAATATCTTTCCATCTAGCGCGCTCTTCCAATCTTCACCGTTGCATTGCAAATGTTCACCGCCAGCTACTAAGCGGTAACGCTTACGTACATCGGCAATGTGTACGCACATTGCGAATTAGCACGTCCGAAATAATATTGCCAACGGTTCGGATTATTTGTTTGAGCCTCAATTGTGAAATATGAAAAATAATATCCGGAATTCATTCGTGGCGAGTGAACGAGATCTGAACAATTAATCGCGCGTAGTCACGCTGTTTACGTTTGCTGCGACATCGTCACGTATCCATAACCATCGCATCATCCAGGACGAGCGTGCGCATTGACGCAGCGACGAGCGCGCTCTTCGCGAGTGAGACGAGTGCGTTCGGTGCGGGTCAGGTATCCTCTGCGAAGGTGATGGTAACTACAACCGGCACTTGGAACAGACAAAGCAAAATGCAACGGATTCGTCAATGAACACCACCCGCCTGCTCTGCAAGGAAACGCTCGTTTAGTACGCGACGTTTCGGGAAGTGGCCTAGCACAGCGGCGCGTATGCGGCCACTGCCCAACGGCGGTATCACGGGAACACAAACATGTTGAAATAAACGGACATTGCCGGAACTATTTTTTTTGTTTTATTTCGTCGCGATGTTTAAAAATCTCTTCTCTCGTAAACCGATTACGGACGCGTGTGAATACGTCGTGGCATATTTTGGTTAGCACAGCACGGGAGTTTATGTCAGTCTATTTCAGGTCACGGTTGTGCACGTACAAAGTTTGATTTGCAAGAGGCGCGCTGTGTGTTGTGCTGCACTATACGCCTGTCGACATCTATGCGTTCAGCCAAGCGACGAGCGAACAGCTCGATTTCGAATCATCGCATGGACTTACAGAGATGGCAAAATTACGGAAATACCCTCCCCCCCCCAAAAAAAAAGAATAATACTCTTACGTTTATAACAAAAGTAAATAAACGAACTTAAAAAAACGAATTGCGAATTAAGCCGATGTAGTTTTGAGCTATAGCGTAATAAAGTGAGCGGGCTACGTCCACGCTGTGACGAGCGACTCACACGATCAGGCGCATCAACTCGTCTGTAAGCAGCGACAGACGGACGCTCAGTGCTCGCTCGCACCCTTCTACATCTCGGCAGGGCCTCGGCTGTCACAATACAGCAGCGAAGTATTATGCGTGGGAGCCCCTTTTCTTATTTCCCTACAAATAAATAAATGCTGCTGGAAGAAGAAGAAAACAAAAGTGAGTGTGAGAGAGAGAGAGGGAGGGAGAGTGGATTGAGTTCATAATTACTGCTAATGATTTGCAAACAACTGCCGAGTTCATTCACGGGCGTCAATCACGCGCGCGCGTGGGCTTTGTTCGTGCGCGCGGGGCCCGCGTCACTCACGCGGCCCGGCTCGAGAGAGGAGGAGCAGGAGGAGGGCCCAGCACTTGAACCATGCTGCTGCTGTGCGATTTATCATCATCATCATCATCATTCTACCCTCTAGCACGGAGCCCGGAGAATTCTGGGCTGGCCTACCCTCGCCCCCCCACACACACACACCCCCGTCGCAAGCACTGTCGTCCGCTGTTGACGTCGAGTTATTCTCATCCTCACGAAGGCGTAAAATGCGAACACGGTTACAAAACAACAGCGGCGATTAACACCAAAGATACAAGAGCGACTCCAGCCAGCGAGAATGGGCCGTCACTAACCCTATTTACGCGATGCAAGTACGGCGGTACGGGGGACATGATGCTTGTATTGAGGGCTTCATCATTCTCGCTCGATATGTTGAGGAGCGCTGATAACTTAGGCTGGCTTGGATTATCTGCGTAAGGCACTACCACTGCAATGCGAAGGTACCCCCTGACCATAATACTATATTACTGTACTCTACTCGATATTCACGTTATTTTACGAGAACAAAATAAGTGTCACGATGACTAAACAAGTACGAGGCCGTTCCGGTTTGAAACTAAGAACTGCTTGTCAGAACAAGGCTATGTATTCGATCGTGTTGTACGCGACACGTGTGTATGTGTGCATGCTGTGTGAAAGGCGAGTGGTGTGTGATGAGTGCGTGATGTGTGAGAGGCGAGTGGTGTGTGATGAGTTCGTGCTGTGTGAGAGGCGAGTGGTGTGTGTGCGATCCGCGTGTGATGTGTGAGAGGCGAGTGCTGTGTGATGAGTGCGTGATGTGTGAGAGGCGAGTGGTGTGTGATGAGTTCGTGCTGTGTGAGAGGCGAGTGGTGTGTGTGCGATCCGCGTGTGATGTGTGCGAGGCGAGTGCTGTGCGTCTTCCGTACGTGCGTGTCTGTGAATGGACGCGTTCAACTGCGCGTTGCAATGATCGTTCGTCCCACGCGATCTTCGTGATTGGGTCACGTTCGGTCGATCGGCCTGTAGTCTTGTCGGTAGGCGAGTGTGGAATACGCACCGATAAAAAAATTGTTGAATTTCGTCGGCTTAAATTTAAATAGGTGCTCAAATAAAGCCTGTTATGGCCGTGAGATATTTGTCTTGTATATACGGCTATACGCATGTAGGTGTATACATCAGCATGTATACAACAACATACCCACGTTGTGCACAAATACAATTAACAACAATACACGGCTTAGGGTAACATTTATAGACTTCAGGTTGAAATATTGTTAGCGAGCGCATATTAAGGCCGTACACATGCACACGCATATCCACGTACGCGTATACACGTGAACATGCACGTAAGCCTACACAGAGATGCATACGCATATACACGTAAACACACAACTGTGTACATATATACACGTAAACACACAACTTATATACTACACAAAACACACACACAACATACACCTACTACACATAACATACACACCTACAGACAGAACATACACACCTACAGATAAAAACATACACCCCTACACACAAACAAGCATACCTAAACACACCTACACACCTAAACATACACAGGTAACAATCACAACAAATGAACAGGTGTACGCGTTCAGAACAACCGCTGCCAAGTTTCTGACAACGGTAGAGGAAATCCAAACCCCCCCGAGCGAAGCGAAGCTTCTTCTCGAACAGTTTTGCTTCTTAAGACATTTCAAATTATTCTTAAAATTTATTTAAAACGCGTAAAATAACGCATTACGAATGTCTGTGTGTGTCTTTGTGCCGCGCCGGACTTTATTGGTGCCCGCTAACAGCTCTTTTTCCCAAGAATATATTCAAAGCTATACGGGGGATCTTTTCCTCGTCTTGTAGTATGGTGGGTTGCCGCGAGAGAGCAACGCCGCGAACATGGCCATAAAGTTCGATCCCTGCTCAGGCCAACACCAGTGACGATTATCTCAACCGGTCCTGGGCCGCCCCTGGGTGGACTCGGCCTCAAATGAGTAGCTGGTGCGGTGTGTAAACATCGCCACTGGGAAGACAACAGTGGCCGGGCGTGGTGTTGGATATCCGCCCCCCCACCCATCTCTTGCCGTGCCGGCATTCATAGGGGCTCGCTAACAGCCTCAAAAATCTGTCAATGCTATACGGGGGATCTTTGTCTTTGTAGTGCCAGGCGGCTAAGACACAGCAAGGTGGCGCAGTGTGCAGCCCTGATTTGCGTCAGTCAACCTGGGTCTGTTCCGTGACCTGTCAGCAGCGAGACTTCCAAATTTCACGTGAAGGCCTCAAGGTGCACCTAGCCTGGCACAAGCGCCGCGATGACGTCACCGCCACTTAGTGGCGCACGTCAGCTGTTGTGCGAGCGTGTGCGCGTGTGTGTGAAATGAATGAATAGACGCTGCAGTTTGAACTTGAGATTCGACTAAAGTGCTGGAGGGAACGCGTTGCTGCCTAGGCGAAGTCACCCCCCCCCCCACTATCCCCCTCCCACCCCCTACCACCACCACCACAACCACCACAACCAACCCCGTACCTCGCACAAGGATCCTGCGGCAGTAGTCGGGACCGGTGGGATCCGAAGACCCGTCCTTGGCGCAGTCCTGGCCAGAAGGCGGCAGGTCCGGTGAGGGTCCCGCCTCCTCTCGCCTTGCTTTAGCTGCAGTGCTCGACCGACCCTGCTGCTGCTGCTGATGATGATGTTGCTGATGTTGCTGCTGCTGCTGATGTTGCTGTTGTCCCTGCCCCTTGGCGCTTTCGTCTTCCATGTCCCACCGCGCAGGCGCCCCTCACTCACGGGGCATGGGCCCGTCGATTCGCTCGCTGCGATGAGATTTCGCCGAGTTCCCCGCGGGTCCGTGAGCCAAATCGCAGGCAGCCCGAGACACGGAGATAACGAGGGCTGTGCGTGCGCGTGACAAAGAGAGCGAGAGAGTGAGAGAGCGGGCAAGCGTGAGCGGGCAGAGTTGGCGGAGAGAGCGAGCGAGAGAGTAAGAATGAGAGAGGCGGATAAATTAAAGCGCGAGAGAGAGAGAGCTGAGAGCGGGGTTTAGTCGTGATGGAAAACAGAGGGCAGACACAGCGCGAGCGGTCCGGCGCTGCCAAGCAGTAAGAGAGAGAGAAAGCGGCGAGAGACAGCGGTGATTTGGAATCTTCGCCGGGCCCCGAAGCGTGGTCGACACCGCTCTCAGTACAGCCTTGGCGTGCGATGCGGTCGGGGGCACGGCGGGCAACCCGTGCAGTGGATTCTGCTGCTGCTGCTGCACGCGCGGCGCGGCGAGGCAACGGTGGCGAGCGACGAGGCCTCGGCGCGGCCGCTGTGCGCGGTCAGGAGGAGTGCGAGCGGCGATGATGCCGGCTCCTATGATCATCCGCCTTTTGATTGACTGAATAATAGGCCAACTCTGCGAGAGCAAGCGCCTAGCGCCAAGCCAGTATCCCGCCCTTCTCCCTCCCTCTCTTCCCTACCCGAGCCCCCCCCCACCTCCACTCCACCACCCGTCCCCACACTGCCCGGACCCCCCCCCACTCTCCCAAACACTGCCCCCCATCTCCACCCATCCCCCTAACCCCCCCGCGCGTCCGCTCCGCGTGACAAACTATAGATCGGAAATAGAGGCGAATATTTCAAGGCGCTTTCTGCTTTTTTTGTCTTACGCGCGCGAAGGGAGCTCCACTTCCCGCGATTCCACCTCCCCCCGCCGTCCCCCCCCCCCCCCCAAATAGCGACTGTGTGGAGGAGAGGCCCGGGCAGCAGCAGGGGCAGCAGCAGGGGCAGCAGCAGCAGCAGGGGCAGCAGCAGCAGGGGCAGGTAGACGTGGACGCGTGCACCGCGCAGCGAGATCGACTCACTCGGAGAGTTCGCCAGCGCGCGCGTCTCTCTCACAACCACGGCCACTACCCAGAAGGCTCCGGGTGCGAAAACTCCACGGCCACGTGTGAATGGAAACCACGAGACCACCGCCCCGCCGCCGCCTAAAACTCAACACATCCGTGAATAACACTGCACTAAGATGAATATATAATGCACAATATGCGACGTTTCGGGCAATGACCCTTTGTTCATGTCAGACGCTTTTTTTTCTCAAGAGGCACCCTATATAAACATTACAAAAGTGGCGCACGAGACAAAACAAATTGTGGCACGTCGGTAAATCGCGGTTATTTAATTATGTATAGACTTTGGCCACTCAAAAAAAACAATGAATGCGTTTAAGGCGATCGCACAAGGGAAGGAGGGGCGAGTTTCGGGCCAGTTATTCCATTGTCAGAACATCGCCCCTTTCTTTCCGCCGATCGGACAATCACCCCCCCCCCCATAAGACCATTGAGATGGTCGCACAATGCGTCAATTCAAGCGAGCGTGGCGGGTGTGAGGCGTGCAGTTTGGTCCTCCCGGGTTCTGCCGGTAACCCCGGCGAGAGAGAGAGAGAGAGACACGCAGACCGAGTGAAGAGTGTCCCGACAAGTGAGTGAGTGGGGAGGGGGGGGGATAGGAGCTAAGGCTGCTTGCTTGGACGAAGCGAGAGCGAGATAAACTCGACGAGACTCGCCTCGCTCTCGCTCGAGTCGCTCGGATTCCCGACTCCTCGTCGGGTGCGGGAGCCACGCGGCTCTCTTCTTTGTGCCGCGGTTTTTTGCGGGGGCGGGTTTCGTGAGTGAACGACCATTACCTAATTGGGTTATTACGAGGCCCGAGGCCCCTCCGCGTGTGGCTCTTGGGCAGAGATGAATGGTGCCGGAGGGAGCTGGGAGGGGGGGAAAGGTCACGTGTCGAGGCGAGGTTGAGTGACAGGCGTCACACCCAGCGGACCCGCTGCCCGGCCGGCAATCTGTCAGTCACAACGCGGGACACAGCCGAAAGTTCGGCCTCTCGACACAAAAGCTCCCCTCTCTGACACTCTCTCACACACTCTCTATCTCACACGCTCTCTCACACACTCATCGCACTGTCTCTCTCACGCTAGCTCCCACTCACTTTCGTCCTGTCTCACTCACTCTATCTCCCAAGTAACTCTCACTCACTCTCATTCCGTAACTCTCTCGTTCGCTCTCACTCACTCACTCTCGAATCGATTCTCCAACTTGCCTTCACTCTCCCTCGCACGATCTCACTATCTCTCTATCTCTCTCACTCACCCTCTCTACCTTCCACTCTCACTCTTTCACTCCCTCACTTTATCTGTCTCTCTCGTATTCACTCACCCTATCACGATCACACTTTCACTCTTACTCACGCTCTCACTATCACTCTCTCTCTCACCACCCCTCTCTAGCGCTATCTTGCTATCACTCCTTCATCCACTCTATCCCTTTATCGTCACTGGTGTTGGCCGTGAGCGGGAATTGAACTCGGGACGCCGGGATGGAACCACAACGCGAGAACCGCTGCACTACCGCTCCGGAACAAATAATATCACAATCATAATCACACGTAACTTCACACATGTACAGCATCACACACGTACACGTGTACATTCGACTCATTGCTCATAGAATATATTCAATATTTCGTTTCCATCAAATATTTGATTCATCGATGACTCAGATCGTCCTTGCAGTAAACACATTCAACTCACCGGCAAGTAATATTTGGACGGCCCACTAAAAAACAATAGTTTCTGTATTTTGTCTAGTTACGATTGTGTTGAATCTAAGCTCTATAGCCCAGAACATTATTAGCGTATTCGTGTTTTTTTTTTACAACACTCACACAACTCACCATCACCTAACGAGCGTTGAATAAAAAGTCATACACATGCTCATCCTCGTCATCATTAGCCACGGTCAATCCGCTGCCGGATAATGGATGGTCTCCCCAATCCACTGTCCCTTCTAGTGTTGTATGTCGTGATAACTTAGTCTTAAACGTACTTTAGAACCGACCTCGTGCATGGTATTCCGAGCCGAGATGCCTATTTATGATATTGTTTATTTATTAAGTTGTTTTTCAGCCAGCTCGCCAGGATTAGGTAAAAAAAATGTCGCCCAATTTTCGCCCAGGCAAATGTAAAGCAGCGCAGACTCTAATTTGTGTTGTTAATTGTATCAATCGTACGACGTCATCTGGATTCGAATCAACAACGTCCATTCCATATCCCATCGATATGAACAACAAAAGAGTAAACCACTGTGGTCTATGTTCCTTCAGCGGAGGAGGAGGAACAGCAAAACGACACTCCCTCCTAAAGCCCTCTCGTCGTGGTGAGCAGACCTCCACATTGGCATTTAGCTCCTCAATATATTGTTGCTATCCGCAAGAATAAGACTAGCCTCTGGTCAATGTTAGTCTATGGTCAGTGTTAGTCTACGGGCAATGTAAGTCAATGGGCAATATAGTAAAACACTGCAGTCTGCGTTCCTTCAATGAAGAAATAGCAACACAACACGAACTCTCTCCTGAAGCCCTCTCGTCGTGACTGGCAGAACTTGACATTGGGCATTTATCTCCTGAACATTCCCCTGCCATCACGCGCAAGGCGAGGCTGAACATACCCCTGCCATCACGCGCAAGGCGAGACTGAACATACCCCTGCCATCACGCGCAAGGCGAGATTGAAAAGTGTCGTGCATCCGCGCCTATTGCACGCTACGCAAACGTTTCTCCAATGATAAACACCAAAATCCTTCCCGCAAACTAAATAAGTGCCACAGTGGCAGATTGACGTGGTCTTCTCCCTCTTTTACGTCCCCGTGTGCGCGCGTCCACTCGGATATCCTTCGCTACCCGAAGGCACGCACGGTGCTCAATGTACATCAGCATGGGAGCCGAGCGAGACGCTTCAGCCCCAAATGAAACGCTCGATCTCATACAAAATAAATACTCAAACATAACAATGCCTCCTTCCAATCATTATTTCTCCAAATTAAAAAAAAACACTTTATTACAGCTTCTTTTTTGCGTATCCACATCGCCTGAACAGTCTTCTGGGAGTGGACTTTTTTCATCAGCATTTGTATCAATAGAAGCCAAACTCTGCACCGGTCTCGATATTCATTGTCTCACGAGCAGCCTCCTGCTTTGCTTACTGCCACGCTGGTGCGACAACATTCCCTCGGTGCCTCCCAATCACGAAACATTCGCCCGATCTCGCCATATCTCGGAAGCTAAGCGGATTTACGCCTGGAAAGCTTTCGTGGCTGCAGGAATGCATACTCTTTGGGTCTTTCAACGTGACTACCGAAAGACCCAAATAGTTTATTTGGATTGGCCACCGCCGAAGATAAATCAGTTGTGTAAGGCTGCTGCTGGGCTACTTCTCTATAGCTGTCCCCTCACTTTGGAACTCTCTCCCAAAACAAATCCGTGACTGCACCGACCTTCCAGCGTTCAAATCATTGACTAAAACTCACCTTTTTAAAATTGCTTTTAATGTTTAGCTAAGTTTGGTGTGTTTTTAGTGTTTTTACAATTTGATGTTGTTTTTGCTGCTTTTATGATTTTATGTAAAGTGTCTATGAGTATTCAAAAAAGCGCTCACAAATAAAATGTATTATTATTATTGTTATGGGCAGCAGAGGGCAGTGTAGAAACACATTCTAACATGTGGCTGACGCATGCTAAGCCACGCATCAGCAAGCACAATCGGCAGCACCACGTTCTATCCACCGCTCGATGAAGGCTTCTTCACGCCGTCGTCATCCCTCACGGTGCCGCGATGCCGCAATTCATCTCGCTCCTGCGCGTGAGCCGATGCCATCTGCCGTACCCCTTCGACTTCTCCGCCCTGTTCGCCCCATTGGCAGCCAATCCATCACTCGTCTCGTCCACTGGGCCATCATCATCATCCTGTGTAGCTCGCCGTGTTGGCCAACCGCCTTCTTCGTGTTCCGTGCCTGCCTTCAAAGGTGTTGCTCGCTAGCAGCACTTGCCCCAACAGTATGTTAAAGGCTGTACAGGAGGGGTTCTTTGTCCGGGGGTTTGCGTGGCGAGCGCACCGCGCTGCGAACCTGGCATTCCGATGACGATTTCCACTCACGGCTAACATCAGTGGAGAATACCTTAACCAGGTCCGGGCCTCCCCTTAGTCGACAGTCTTTGAGGGTAAAACACGACGTCCCTGGTTTGCGTTTGTTCCTTGATCCCCGCGCGCACCTCTTCCCATCTCTCAGTGGCAATTTCGAGCACGCATCTCTCATCTCTCTCCTCTCTCCGTGCTTGTTTGGACAAATTTTGAGCGTTTGTGCATCTGGCATTGTCGGGGTCTACGTCCCACCAATCGTTGTCAATTTTAAATACGCAGAACGCATTACGGATTTTTGTTTGTTTCAATCGCCTGCGCTTTTTACGTAAATGAACGAATCAAAGTGTACACAATAGGACGTGTTGTAATCCACGTGCCTGATACAAGTATTTATCGGACGTTGGGAGCGAGAAAAAAGATGTTGGAATTGGCTGAAGATATGAAGTGAAAAAGGCGAGATAATCGGAGGTGGCTGAGTAGCTCAGAGGTCAGGGCACCTGAGTTCGCGTCCCCGTTGCAGATGTCCGTCATTAAACTAGAGTCTCAAGTGTGTGGAGCTGATGGTCTCAGCAGGATTACATTTGACCGCACCGAAAATAACATTCTAAAATATTTGACTGTCACCTGGCGAGCAAATATCATTGCAGTGTGTCGGAAAGTGCGACTTCTAGTGTGTGAAGGATTAAAATGTAGCTTGACGGATAGCCGGGAGGTGGTGACTATGCACGCCTATAATACAGCAGTGAGGGTTAGTGGATCACACTAAGGTTGTGAAACACCCTTCCCGTGGGTGTCGAGGAGGTGACATACCCTGGCTTGCGAGGAGAATGCTGTACAGAAAAATGTGAACTCCACCTGTTGTATCCTCTGGGTTCTCCGGTTTCTCGGTCTCACATGTCAACACCCGTGAATTGGCCGATTACACATTAATATATAGATAGGACTGCAGAGCTTGGGGCAATCGTTGTCGCCAAATCACCACGTGGCTGCCTTCCCTGCTTGCCTGTGGCTCCTCGCAGCTCTGAGTCGTTCGTTATACCTCTTCGAGAGCGAGCGAACACTGTGCTCTTTCCAAGTTGAAATCATTACTTATTAAAGTTGGGTGAAAAGTATGTCACTGTTCAGTGCGATAATTATCGCGATAATAATCGCACTGAACAGTGACCGCCTCCAAAATCTCTTCGTCTCAATCGCAGGAACTGTTGGCTGTTGCCGAGACCCCAATGCCCCCCCCTCGACCACTCACAGCATTTATCTAAAAGGGGTGCCGATGCACGCATGAGGCTAGGGTTACCTTGGTGTTAGAAATTCGAAATTGCTAACATTGTTAACCTTAGAAGGTCCACAATGCTTTGTCTATTGACACATACCGATATGATCGCTGCTTTTAAAAGCAACGTGTAACAATATGTAATGTATGCTAGTCTGTGTGTATGTCTGTGTGTCTCTGTATATATGTTGTTAAGGAGCGGTGGTGTAGCAGTTAGCACGATGCTCTATGGACCCGGCTACCCGAATTCAATTCCCGCTCACGGCCAACGCCAGTGACGATTATCTGGACCGGTTCTGGAGTCTCCCGTATGTCGACTCAGCCTTTAAAAAAAAAGATGTATCTTGTGCGGTGTGTAAACCTCACCACTAGAGTGACAAAGGCGGCCTTGCACGAAGTTGGCCACCCACCCCCGGTGTGTGCCGTGCTGGCCTTCATACGTACTTGTTAACACAGCACTTGCCCCAACAGTCTGCGTAGGCTACACGGGGGATCTTTGTGTGTGCTGGAGGGGAGCACAGGTTGTGCATCTGCGAGTCATCTCAGCCAATCATCCAACGGCACCTGGCTCTGTCCAGTGACCTAACAGCAGCGAGCCATCCACACGTCACGTGGTCTCAAGGTGCACCTAGAATGGCACAAGTGCCGTCGTAACGTCACCGCCACTTAGTGGCGAACTGCGGTTGTTATATATA